GGCGGGTCAACGCGAATCCACGAGGGGCCTCATCCGTACGACACAGGACGACCGTGACAAAATCAACCACCTCCACCCCTACCGCCTCTCACCTCGCGCTCCCGATCCGACCTCTCTCGCTCCACCGCCGACCTGGCCTCGGAGGCGGTCTGAGCGGCAGTAGCGGCCGCGGAGGCGGCAGTGGCGGCAGTAGCGGCGGACGCCGCGCCTCCACCCCCTCCCCCACCCACTGCTGCAGCCACCGTTGCCACCCCCGGTGCTGCGGCCTCCCGCTTGGCCTCAATCAGTTGTCGGTTGATGGAGTTGAACTGGGTAACTAACTTTTCCATGTTCGCCTGGTGGTTGGGAAGTAGGGGGGAAAGTAGGGGGAAGGTGAGGGGGGAGGTAGGGGGGGTTACAGTTAGCATGGCACATTTCCATACGGCACATGACAGGTCTACATACAGGCATACAAATGAAGGCTATGCATGCATCCATACCCCATCATATGTACAAACGTACGTACCGCCGTAAATACGGTTACGCACCAGTCCAATCTTCATCGCACCAATCCAACTCTTTCCCGCTCTCCTCCCTTCCCCCACCATACATACATACAAACATACACACGATGTGTAACAGCACACATACCATACAAACATACATACATACGCACCCACCTGCAGATCCCCCTGGAAGTCCTGCATGTCCCGTTTCAGGTTTTCAAACTGTTTTGTCGTACCCGCACTTCGGTCGACCAGGTAGTTCTCAGTCTCCTGCGGGGGGGGGGATGAGGGGGTGTGGGGGGTTATCCATGTGTGTGTATGTGCGCGTGTGTTTTATACACGATCTGAGCCGCGCAAAAGGAGTGGCGAGGGGGGGGGTCATATCAGAAGCTTTACCGAAGTGCGCATCGTAATGCAGCGACATGGTAGGGTGTCTCCAGGAATGGGTGTGTGTATGTATGTGTGTATGATGTGTGAAACAGGGGGGTGTATCTTCGCCCGTGGCAGCTACCCTGCGAAACCCTGCCTTCCCCGGTATTTCGGGGCACCCTCATCCAGTCACCCTAGTCAACTTCTCAG